GCAAAAACGTACGAAAAATTTCCAGGAGGAATCTGCAATGTGGAAGTTAATGTTGTGGATGTTCGAGTTGTGGTCACCTCTGGTTGTTCTAAATACGAATAAAAATGACAATTAGAACAATTTACCCTGAAGAACTATTTGCAAAGAACCTGTCAATTGAGTGTAATATCTTCTGATAAATAAGCAGAAATAATCGAACAATGAACACTTACTTCCATTTGTAAACGTTTCTTCACTCTTGCTGTAACTTCCCTGACCGACACTGGTAATAGCGAGGACACGAACGTAATATTTGGTTAATGGATTTAAATTGCTTATGACCCATTTTCCTGCACTTGTCGTGAATGTTTGAAGGCAGGGCTCATTTCTTGACTGTAAAACACACACAGTGTAACCGATAATGATGCCATTTCTTTTCTCTTCTTCAGGAGGATCCCACGTGACTGATAATGAGGATGAACTTTCTGCAGTGACTTTGACGTTCAGTGGAGGACCTTCTGGAGCTAAGCACGAACAATATATACGCATGAACAATACTGTCTAAATATATTGACAGTGATAAAGGCGGCAATAATAAAGAAGGTGGGATGCTAATGATGTATTATGATCTTACCTTCTTCACCAGTCCTAAAAGCTATCTTAACACGTTCACCAGATCCTTTACTGTTTTCAAGAGCCACTGAAACCTCATAGTTCTTAAATGGAGTCAGATCCTTCATTGAGAACTTGTTTTCACCACTAAATGTTATAACCTTGTTTATGACTCGAGCACCGCCATGTTTCAGTATTATCCAAAACCTGGTAACAGGATTCTTGGAAGAAACCACGGGATCCAACCAAGACACTTCTGCGCTTCTGGACGTGATCTTGTTGACTGTCAAGTTGTATGGTCTTCCTGGCTTTATGGCTAAAATATAAATCAAGAAAACTTTAACAAACAAATGGTAGGGTGAGAGCAGCCCTGGTGAGAGTTAAGGTTAATTAAGATCAGCCATTATTGATCTGTGTTTATGAATTATGATATAAGTACAGTTGCAAAAATTGGCTTACACTTTCCACAAATCTGCACTCTCATACACGGCTGAACCACTGAATCAAGCGGAATAAATCTCAAGGCTTTTAGTTCAATATTATCGTCCACAGATTGTCTGACAACATGATTATTAGCATTTCTATTGCCACGAAATATCTGCAAGAAAATAAAAAATAATCGGCGTCGCAATTTTAGTAGAGCAACAGACTGAGAGCTAGATTCCGCTAACTACTTCACAGTTTATAAAGTAAAAGGATTATTAATTAACAACAATAGAAATTGAAGCTGAAATCTGGACGTATTCGGAATCAGTTTTAAACATAAAATGTAGTGATTTTTAGAGCTTACTTTTTCAGTTTGGTTTGAAGCTTGTTTCCATTGTATCATATCAACCGAGTAATTCAGATGATACGAAGTCACCCACTTGCTGTTAGTTCTATCACCAAATGTCGCCACATAATATACAACATAAAGTCTTCCTAAGTCAACTTGAAGATAATGTTTGTATTTGCCACTGGAGCACACCAAGAACTACCACTAGATATCCGTGCTTTAGCTGGATTGTGACCGCTCAGTGAACCTGATGCAGTGAAGCAGGAGTCGGGAAAATAATCTTTGTATTCTAACAGAGGATTCTCGCAAACTGCACCTGGAAATCAGGAATTGCCAAGAATAAGATTTGTGTGTGCAAAAGATCACTGCGTTTTCAAAGCGTTAAAACAAGACCCAATAAACAACGTTTTCTGTTGTCGAAAAAGTTGTCTGTTTCGTTATCTATGCTACATCAACCTACATGTCACGTATGACAGTTCCTTGCAATCGTTGGCAGAACTTCTTGTTGTTTGACATTGTGATAAAGCTGCTTCTCCTCCATTACAGTCAATACTTCCTTGAAACACGTCTTCTTTACTCTTCCCCGAAACAGTCGAAACTTCTTTAAGTGTTTTCCAGTAGCCCAGCTGATGGCACACGATATTCTTGGCCTGAGATTTTAAAACTTCGCTGCAGACAATTTCGTCCTTATTATCGATAGTGACGGTCAGAAAGCCTTCGTTTGGTGAAGTTGACGAAGTCAATGAGACAGATTCAACTATTGTAGAACGATATGAAATAAAAATGTTTATTCAGCATACGATAGATTAAAGCCTGGCTCACACTTGTCTTAAGAATCGGCGACCTTTTGTTTGAATTCAAAATACTTTGTCTATCGGAAAATAATACAATGGATCCTCCATTCTTAAGACATAGTGTGAACCAAGCCTAAACAATAGAATCATGATGTTTTTTTAGCTCTTACCACACGGTTTCGTAAAAGACGTGGAAGTATCAATACATTGATATTCAAAGTAAAGATATTTGTTCAACCCAGGACACAGATCATCAGAGAACAAGGTTTCATCCACAGTTATTTTACACTCATGTTGACCATCACATTGTTTCTTAACAAGACATGTTACATCAACTGTACAACTATAATCATCACTCAAACCACATGTCTTTGAGTCAGACAATCCACGGTAAGATGCAGTCTTGACCACCATGAACTGATCTTTAGGACAAGTGACATTCTCTGTCGTTTTTCCATAACATGTCACTGAACCTTAAAGTAAAGAATGCAGTGACTGTGTGTGGTTCTCTATGAGACCGCTTATTATTCTCTCTAACATGTATACTTTCAAATATTCTTCTCAGTCTCAGACAACCCCTATCAGGCAGAAAAATCGTACCGGCGGAAAAGAAACTTACCAAAAATAAAACGTTTATTCTCCTCGTCTACACAGCTTCTGACTGTTTTTATGTATCCATCAGGGTCTGCACACCTGGCTGCAGAATTATAAAATCCACGTAAACCTCCCCAAGAGGTTTGTTTTATAACCCGGCGGTCAGCACAGGCAGATACTTCTATAGCTCCTGGGGTATTAGGAACGTAGACGTAAAACATTTCAGGAAACCTATACTTCTTATAGATAGCAAGACATCCTTGTCTTTTCAAATTCAACATGGCGCCATTATCACGAAACCGAAACTGAGCAGCTGGATCCAGACAGTTGTTGGAGAGTTCAAGAAAAGATATGCTGCCCCAGTCCGAGCCGTCTGATTGTATTCGTGCTGTATAGATACACTGTCTTGTCTTGACATGTTTCACAAAAAAACCAGCAACACCTGAAACACAGCACAAAAAGGTAGAACTATATAAAAAAGAAAGTGACTCGTACAGATAAATATAAAACACAATGTGCCCTCCCCCCAAAAAACAACAGATGAAATCATCATTCACTAATCACTATAATATTATTATTTATTATGATTGTTAGTTATTATTATTAACATTAGTTTGATGACCTTGACATTTCTGAACTTCTGGGAGTTTATATGTTTTGTACAACCTAATTTGAAGCAAAACAAAATATACTTTATGCAGATTTCGTTTTATTGAGTAAATAATTGTGTATGCGGTTCAGTTTTTCAAACTAAATACCTAATTTCTGTTATCATTCATCACTTTCATCATGGCTTTATGAGAACTAATTAACACGGGGGAATTTCATAAACTTGATTGCTGGATTATTTGCTGGACATTAATTTCCTTGAAGAATTCTTGAAAAGGTGGGAAATATTGGAAAATATCGATTAAAATTTTTTATTTACATTCAATTTGGGAGTGGACGAGTGGTAAATTTAGTTTAAGCAACTCACTTTAGCTACGATTGTAGTTATACAAAAGAAAAAACAGTACCGAGGTGGCAAAGCTACTAGCCTACCAATCGCAACTTCTTAAAACCCGGAAGTATTTTACCATACTTCCGGGTTTTAAGAAACATTGGTTTTGACGAGATTGAATAAATCATTGCCATTCATAGTTTTGCAAATTTACAGCTGCAAGTAAAATCCACGTAGTGAAATTCAGTAAAAAAAACAAAACAAACGTGATAACGGAAGTGCTGCAGAAATGAGAAATCACCATCTTGATTAAATAAATTTTGTTAGTGTCGCGATAGATCAATAGACGATCTTGTTTTTTTCTTGACCTCGTATGAATTCCGATTTCTATAAATTCCCAAACCAACTGAAGCTTTGTTGTGACAATCAGCTCTTTAATCACGAATCATCGGCGGCCGTGATTCACAGCACGTCACAGGGACGAATCCTTGAGCATTTAGCGCGGAAGCAACTAGCAAGCTATACCTAACTACCATATAATACATTGGTATTGACCATATATAAGTCAACATAAATACTGTGCCGTTTCTTTTAATTCCGAGTTATATTTTACACATTTTTTCACAAATATCACTTAATAATTTTGTAAGGAAATTATCCATAAAAGTATATTTTGCATGAAGCACTGTCGCAGCGAAAGAAAATCGATAAGTTACGAAGTTAAGCTAAGTTTATACAAGGTAAACTAGCAGTCCTACCTTGAATGCAGGTGATCAGGTACACTACGACCATACATGTCGAGTACCATCTGCAACAATGCGAAAACATTTTTCAACTAATGCAATCCACATAAAAATCCCAATAGGAATGTGAAAATAAAAACTCGCTTAAGCGTGGATTATATTATAGGCGTAGCTACAATATTAACTCGTATTATTGTATTTCATATAACGTCATACATTCAAGTGGTCTAAGGCTAAGAGCGCTTTCCTTTAAAGGGACTGAGCGGCTAAAATGGGAAACCGGTCGTATTTTGAATTAAAATACAGTATTTCGTTAAGAATAAAGCAGTGAAACTCCATTTTCCGTCCTATACAGATGAAAATAACAATATACTTAAATGCATAGTTCTTGAAGTCAAAGTGGCCATAGTCAAAGTAATGGTTTATTATGAATACGCCTATTAATAGCAATGATGTAGAATTACAGTGTAATTATTAAGATAACACCATTGTGTCAGTGGACAACTTAAGATCCACGATCTCTCAATGAAGACGACATCTAATAATGATTGAATAAGACGAGTGTTACCACTCAGTTTATTATATCCTGTCGACTGTATAAAAATGTATAGGTCTGTACAATTACAGATATTCAAATTAAAAGAAATTTTCTCGGTGTTAAACTGTTTATCTTTAAAAGTTATTTAAGCTGTTAGAACTTTAGCAACCATTGTCGCAGAGTTCTTTCAATTACCACCACTCCCTACGAGTAGGAGTTGAAAGCTAAGAACACTAACTGTATTTTATTTCTAGTTTCTAAACTCAAAAACACATAGCGTATAATTGAAAACCTGGGAGCTCAGAGTCCTGAGAGCTTCCAGTTTCCCCTTCATTCAGTTTTTACATTGATAGTACTCATGGGTACTTCATTTAGATGAGTGTATTGAGCATCGTCATTTTCTTCCTTCCCAGTCCACTTGAGAGAAGTGTAAGTCGCCTGCTCATCATTTATCTCATCATAATTCCCTGGATCATCGATTACGTTTTCGTCGTTGGTTGGTTTCTTCTCCACGTTTGTCTCAGAGTTTAATGATTTGGCGCGATTACAATAAATCAGAAAAGCAATGATTAAAAGTGAAATGAAAAGCAGGATTGATAACACTATAATTCCAGCAACATAATTTCCTGAAATGCAAGCCGTGATTATTGTGTTAGAGGAAAAAAAGTTTAATTATTTTCGCAAAATGAATATAAACATATTTTTCTATTCATGTATAGTTTACCTGTTTCTTTTAATTTTTCGACTGAAATTGTATAAGTGGCAGTGCTTTGAAATCGATCTTTGATATGACAAATGTATTTTCCAAAACTTGATTGGTCTTTCATTGATGCAACGAGCAGAGAACTACGATAAGGCACGTCTTTCTCCACAAAACTTTTCAGTGGCTTCTGATCTTTTTCCCAACTGAGAGTAATCGGTGGTTCACCTTGAGCAGAACACAACAAGTTGACAAGATCACCTTCCTTTGCCATTACGTCACCACTGGACATGTTGGTTAACTCACGAGGACCGCCTTGGAAAACGAACACGGGAAAATTGATATAAAAACGTTTCAAAACGCCTCATAAAAAAGTGCAATAAAGACAAACTCAATGCTTTCTCTTTCAGTAGGAATAGTCATGCCTTATTCTCTGAATAATAATAACAGTACATACATTTTTACTAAAAATTCGTAGTATTTTCAGAGATGTTAATATAAAATCAATTGAGTCATAATATCGCTGTAAGAATTATAATCTTTTTGACGATAAATTAATAAGATATTCACCTGCGTATTCATTTGTTTTTAAAGCAAGACTCCAGTCTGTGGAGTAAACATCGTCCTGTGATAAATTAGATAAGGATTGTTTAGTTCATGTCTCGTTTTATGTGTGTTACTATCCTTTTGAATGCTGCAAGTTTTCAGTTTTCACACCTTTTTATTCAGAATAATCCTTTGAAAGATCCTATAACTAGTACCAGGTTCCAACGGACCATTGTAATAATTACTAGAGGTAGTTGAACTTCCTAATGTTGCATCACTTCTATTCCTACCATCACCAAGTATGAATTTGTTTTCAACAACACTGCTGGATGAAAATACAGCAGCAATATAAGGTTTATGGTCAGGTGATCTTCTTGCCTCAGCGTACGTCACTAGTTCATTGTTGTCATAACTATCAGTTGATCGTCGTTCTTGATCTTCGTCCTTAAATTTCAGGGCTACCACGTAAAAATATCTACAAACAAATCCAGTGCAGCATTGAAATTAAAACTACTATTTCGACCGTACTTTTCAAAGACTGACAAAGCAAAAACGTACGAAAAATTTCCAGGAGGAATCTGCAATGTGAAAGTTAATGTTGTGGATGTTCGAGTTGTGGTCACCTCTGGTTGTTCTAAATATGAATAAAAATTACAATTAGAACAGTTTACCCGGTGTAATATCTTCTGATAAAACTCTTCATCAACATACAATGAATTACACAATAGAATTATGAACGTGAATGTTATGATTGTTATCTCTTACCACACGGCTTCGTAAAAGACCTGACAGTGTAATCACATTGATATTCAAAGTAAAGATATTTTCTCCATCCAAGACACAGATCATCAGAGAACAAGGTTTCATCCACAGTTATTTTACACTCATGTTGACCATCACATTGTTTCTTAACAAGACATGTTACATCAACTGTACAACTATAATCATCACTCAAACCACATGTCTTTGAGTCAGACAATCCACGGTAAGATGCAGTCTTGACCACCATGAACTGATCTTTAGGACAAGTGACATTCTCTGTTGTTTTTCCATAACATGTCACTGAACCTTGATAAGGATAACACGAAATGTTAATCGCGATCGAAACTTAAAAAGATGCAGTGAGTTTGCATGTCCACTTGGTTTGAGAATATATAATTAGGTTCTGAGCACTTCTTCTCTTTACTGTTGAATACATTTCTCAGACAACTCTATCAAGCAGAAAGATCGTACCGGCAGGAAAGAAATTTACCAAAATTAAAACGTTTATTCTTCCCGTCTTCACAGCTTGTGGTCGTTTTTAGGTATCCATCAGGGTCTGCACACCTGTCTGCAGAATTAAATTTCCCACGTAAACCTCCCCAAGAGGTTTGTTTTATAACCCGGTGGTCAGCACAGGCAGATGATTCTATAGCTCCTTTGTTTGGCGGAACGTAGACGTAAAACATTTCATCTTCATGATCCTTATTATATATAGCAAGACATCCTTGTCGTTTCAAATTCAACATAGCGCCATTATCACGAAACCGAAACTGAGCAGCTGGATCCAGACAGTTGTGGGAGAGTTCAAGAAAAGATACGCTGCCCCAGCTCGAGCGGTTTGAATGTATTTGTGCTGTGTCATAGATACACTTTCCTGTCTTCACATGTTTCACAAAGAAACCAGCAACACCTGAAACACAGCATAAAAAGTAATACCAAAAAACAGTACTGTAGTACAGAAAAATATCTCATTTCTGTTTTCATTCATTATTTTCGTGAAAAATAATTAGCAAGCTGGAGTTTCAACCTTAATATTTAACGAAACTTTTTCCTGTGATTTCAACTAAAAACTTGAAAAGGTTGCAAATATTGGAAAATCTTGATAAAGAGTTTTGAATTTACCTTCAATTTGGTGGGGGTTAATCTGTGTTACGTACTCGCTTTAGCAACAAATGTGGTTACTTTTCTCAAGATAGTTTTAACGAGGTGAACAGACAGAACGATAAACATTAATCAACCAGCATCTATAGTATACCAGACTACAGGTGGTATAGATACCTATCGCAACATTTCAAAGCGCTAGCGGGTAAATTTACCATACTTTCGGGTATTAAGCCGATGCGTTAGTTTTAGACAAGAGTCTATAGCGATTAATCCCATGTCATTGGTAGTTTTGCAAATGTATAGCAGCGATGCTTAATAGTGAAATTTATTTAATATTTGTTCCAAACCTAACAAGCATGATAACGGAAGTGCAGCAAAACCCATGTTGATTAATTAGATTGTTATAGTGTAGCAATAGGTTGATAAACGATCTTGTATTTTTTTTTCGACCTCGAACGAATTCCGACTTCCATGAAGCTTTGTTGTGACAAGCTCTTTTATTACGAATCTCCAGTCGGATTCATTCACAGAGACGAATTCTCGAGCACTTGACTAATATATTGGTCAACATATTGTCAAGAAATTATTTACCATTAATCATACATGCATTGTAACGTTTTTTTTTCTATGTTATCACAGTTCCACTTTTATTGTGTTTGTAATTGATATTATGTAAGGACATTACAATTAGATATCTTTTATATTTGAAGTAAATTTTGTATATAGCATTATCTCATCCAAAGAAAGCGGATATTCATATACTTCGCTCTAGCGTACGAAGTAAACTAACAGTCTACTAACTACCTTGGATATAGGTGATCAAGTATATTACAACCATCCATGTTGAGTACCATCTGCAACAACGCGAAAACATCTTTCAACTTATGCAACTATATATAAATCCCAATAAAAATGTGAAAAAAAACTCGCTAAAGAGTGAGAAATATTGTAATACAATTATATTTGCTTATGAGTTTCATGTGACGTCATAGGTTCATGGTGAAACAATATATTAGGCAATAGGCGGCGGTGTCTGTAATGAGTTACCGGTTGTGACAAAGGCTTTATTCCGGTTTCAACGTTTGTGAGACTTCCACGTATGGAAGTATTAATCGGCGATATTCTACGTCCAGGTATCTGCCTGCGCTCTATGGAAAAAATGATCACAGGCAATTTAACATTTAATTAATGATACTAACGTGTGAACTTGAAACATTTTTTCAATCTCTGATGAGGTGGTTAGTCACTGGTGATGTCGTATATGCCACACCCCTACGTAGTTAATTGAAACGAAATATTGCATTCAAGCACCTTATACGACGTATCTCACTGGAACTTGCAATATATCGCAGGCTCGACAACAGGCGTTGTTTGGTCTTTGGATTCGCCTAATTTGCTACACTCAGTGATTTGCCACATTTGTGTCAATTCGTGTGTCTGATTACACTGATTGTGCACTGATCAAATAACTACCATTTTCTCCAAATTTAGTATCAATATAAACCACTACGGAATGGCTTCAGAGTAAGTACGATTGTGAAACGGTTTATTTTCCATATAAATCGTTAGAAATGAATTGTTACTATAATATTGTGTTGATTGTTGTAAGAATATTAATTATTAGTCTACCGAGTGCATATAAAGATTACAATGACATCTTTCATAAATTTTAATATCTATAGTGACACGTTGCATCTGTAGTTTTGTTTATTTTATAGTATATTCTGATAATATTTTAGTTTGTACTAGCGATTGTTTTAAACATTGCTTTATAAATGTTTGGAATGATCTAGATTTTATGATTTTAGATAGAACCTTCTGTATTAATCACATATATTATATATTAATTTAATACTGTGGAAAATTTTTCTTTATATAAATCATATATTGTTTGCTATATGGTCTTCTAAGTTCTATCACTTTACACATGATGTACTTAACACTTTGACCCAAATTAAAACCTTGATTTTATCTAATCTTTGATCCTAATCTAGGTGACATATGTGTATGATAGCTTAGAATACTGGAACAATTGATATTTGCTGTCTATGCATTGCTTTTGTGTGCACATATGCTTGTAAGCCATTTCAAAAATAAATATCCTCAAATATCCCAAATACTTTAGATTCAAACCACATCCACAGGCTTCCCAAATTGCCACCAGACTCTGGAATGCTGATAAAAATAGACTGACCCCGGGTGTTGATTATGACCTTGACCTTCAGGGGTACACTAAGAGTTACCAAAGAACAGATCGAGCTGAAAACCCACTTTTTAGCTGGGTGAAACCTGATGTTTTTGAAAGGCCTACATATAAAGGTGATCTAATCTATTTATCATGAATTTGTACGTGAATAAAAACACTATGTGTATAACTGAAAAGATGAAATATTACTTTTACACAGCCTTTATTGCATTACTGGATAACTATGAACGTGACACAGGCCTTGCAGAAATTGTCACCCAGGAGGAAATCAATGAGAATCGAAGGTTTATTGATCTCATCATGCAAACTGAACCAATGAAAATTGCCCATGAAGTATTAGCCAAGTATAAAAAATCTCCACCAGATGTTCCAGGTTTTAAGCATCAGCTTTATCAGATCTGGTTTGAGCTGTACTCAAGAACCAAAGGAAATAGGTAATCATACAGATTATTCAGCAAAAACACAGAAATACATATGTGATTGAAATAGGCAATTAAAAAAGTACACAACATGATGTTTTTTATCAACAGTATTAATTATTAAACTGTGAAGGATTTTTTTGCATTTTTGGCCATGTAGATCATTGTAGAGTATGTTAATTGTATTATTTTTCATCATTTTATGTGGTTAGAAATAAAGATTCATCTGGATTTGAACACGTTTTTGTTGGGGAAAGTCGAGCGAAGGAAGTAATCGGCTTTCATAACTGGATTCAGTTTTATCTTCAAGAGAAGCGAGGAAATGTTGATTACCAGGGCTATATTAGAGGTCGAGGATGTCGTGGGGTAAGATTGATAGTTTGTTTTCTAGAAATCTTTATACTGATGTGCACCACCAATACATGTACGTCCACTTGGACCTTGGTAACTTACGTCGGTGATTTTTCCCAATTTTATCTATAGATGTGTATTCTAAAAGTACGATCTTTTGTTTGGTCGCGCAATGGCATTGACAGTGTTATTTTTCAGAATGATGACATGCAGTATAAAAGTGAAGACTGACAAGTATCTCTCTAACAACTTCACTTCGTTTTCTTTGTAGAAACCAAGTGAGGATACTCATTTGATTACGATTCAGTTTCAATGGAAAGATCAAGTTAAACCAATGGGGAGTTCATTCATAGGAACCAGCCCGGAATTCGAGGTTGCATTGTATACAGTTTGTTTGTTGATGGACTCGTCTGGCAGTACGAGCCTTGAGATGGAAGACATGGATCTTACGATAACCACTCATCGCTTCATTGGACGAGGATCGAATAACAGAGAAAAACATTTCATCGCTTCTTCGTTTCCAAAAGCTATGTGAAATGATGCAATATTCCGTTCAATGCTTCTGTGGAAGTTCAGAATACAGAAATTTCAAATAAATGCGCGATATTCATATTTTTATCTTCGTCGAATCAACGCAGTTTGTATTTTATTACATATTTTAATAAATGGCAACGTGGCAATGAAAATGTGTTTTTATATCAATCTAAGAATATTTAATATAAAATTAAAATGAAACTTCTTTGTGTTTCCTCCAATTTTCGATACTCTAAAATTCAGTAATCGGCAAATGAAGGGGTCGCCGGAAGATTTAAATCACGTGTTTTATCCCAATACATCTGCATCATTCTTAACGAGCCAGGCCAAGCCCCATCCCTGGGCCCTCAGACATTATAATAGCACCTGTTTTGAAGTAGAACAAACCATTTTCTCGGTATGTTCTCTACAAACATATACGAGAAGTTCGCGCTGCCTCTGAGTCAAAACACGTACACTGTACTCATTATTTCAATACTTTTCCACGTTGTTTGTGGAGTGATATCAATCAGCGGTAATTTGCTAGTTCTACTGGTCTATGGAAAACGTCTTCACGGCCGTGAGACGCGGAGACCACCGGATTTGCTCGTTGCAAATCTGGCCGTTTCAGATGTGGCTGTTGGCTTGTTTCTTCTTCCTCTTATGATCGTAACAGATATTTTTATTGCACTGGGCCACGTTTTATTCCTTCGTGCTGTATTGGAATCTCTGTTTATGCCACTTCTCTCCACAGTCTCGATATGGACCGTGCTAGGAGCGAGTGTGGATCGTTTTATTTCGATAAAATGGCCGCAGAGTTATAAAACTACCCTATACCGTACACGAGTGTACAAGTGGATCTGTTTTACCTGGATCTATGCCTCAACATGGATCTGGTTTCCATTTCTTCCAGGTAATGGAACAAACCATTTCGCTACTTATATT